TCCCTCGCGTCAAATATTGTTTATACTTTACAGATGCCAAATACATAATATGTTCAGTCCATGTGCTGTGCAAAAGGTCAATCTGAAACATGAAAAATGCCACACTCTCCCCCATCAATCCCTGTGCATGAGCAATAAGCCCACATTTGATGTCATAATATCGAATATGTGTGTATTTGAATAAATCCTAAATTATTGAGATTCTCTTGATGAAAAAGCATCTATGTTAATGTATCGTCTTCTACAAATCATCCTCCCTAATAAATAATACATGAGAGACATCTCACAAGATAACTATTGAAAATCGATGTCAGCTGCTACTGTCTTCATTATATCAATTAGGTGTTGGTTTTTGGTTTTCATGTCCAAGAAGGTGTTAAAAAAACAAGATTTTGCGATAAAAGAGGGTGTATAATATGCGAACCAGCGAGCCATGGCAGCGAGTCATGCAGGTCAGAATCAAAAACAGTAATATGGAAAGAATTAACTGACAGGACCTAAAATAAAAAGGTTTATTTACAAAAAACAAAATGTGACAATAAATAACTTTTATTGTACCTTTACTCTGATGTGTAAGCTTTGTTTTCTTGAAAGTGCTGTTCAATAGAAACATGAAGACCCGGCTATGAAAAAGAACTTTGGAAAACTTATGTTGTGTCCATGCCAAGTGCAGTAATCATTATTATTTTGGGCCAAACCTTGTCTAATAGAATTGTTTGAGGGTCCCCCCAGAGAAGACTTGGAGAAAAGTGCTCCTCAAAGTTGCAATGCCTTTGGTTTAAAGGCAACCCCAGAGTTAAAAACAATAATTTAGTATTATTCGGATGTAACATCAAATCCCATACAAGAGGATAATTTATAACAAACCATAACCTTGTTGATCTCTGACCTCTGGTCAAATCTGGTGGACTACAAGGCTATAGTATCCGATTTTAATCAATAGATCCAAAAGCATGTAACAAGCATAATTCTTAGTTTTCCAATATGTATATTAAATTCTTAAGAGCCTCTTGCATTTGTTAAGCTTGACCAAATAATCAGTGAACTTCAGAAAGTAGAATAATTGAAAGCAATAGGTTTTTTTGAAGCGGGACAAAAAAAAATGATCAGAGAAGATACGTAAGATTTTCACTTTGTGGGTTTTCAAGAAGAAAACGCGGGCAAAATACCCTCAGAAATCCCCTGTAAACCTGTTGTATACCTGGACGGAACCGCGTCAAGACATAAACCAACAGAACATCATATTCGAAAAAGCAGATATTTTACTCACAAATGACTCGCTTGCACCAAAACAATAACCTGAATTACAGCCGTCTTCTCCGGCCGGTCGCTCACTCGCGGCAGAGAAACAGAAGCAACGGGAAAAATTACATTAACACTTACTGTGAAAGCAAACATAAGGAAATGAATTATAGAACAACTCACTTTTTAGTTGTTTCCAAAGCATTCTTTTTTCCTTATGATATAAAAAAATAATGAAATAAATAGGCACAAACTTGTTAGCGTGCTTACCTATTTGCGATGTACTGATTACATACGCAGTGAGTACGCAGTGCCTACTAAGCGCGCGATAAGCGAAGAACTATAGCGCAAGAATGGTTACTCCCTGTCCTCAAGGTACTTCCCAATTCATAGTAACGAGACAAATAAAAAGGCAAATAAAAGGCTCGATAAAACAAGAATAAACGAGAATTTTGGTCAATACTCTTTCTTCTCCTCTCCCTTGTCCGCCATTTTGTATGTTTTGAAAATGACCACCGCCATGGTGATCATGTTATGGTTGGTGACGTAGACCATTGTTTTCGCTTCTTCCAAAACTGGCATACTCCCGAACTGGTGACGCATTCTCAGTAGTAGATCAGGTTCGTCAAAATTAACTTTGCTTGTTCAGTAACACGAATTTCCTCAAACTTTTAAGTGCAGCCAGAATAACATATCTTAAAATAGTTTGATATAGGATCCTCGACATTCTTAAGTATCACTAAACCATTTTATATCAATATTCTCTCGTGTCAAAGAATTAAATAATTTAAATATGACTGCATCTTGGCAAACAGTCCTGTAACCTTTACCTTAATCGCTAATCTACTGATTTACAAGCGTAAGCATACGAACAAATTTCATAACCTGATGAACCTCATAGCATGTTTTATAGAGGGTAAGTATTTTATCGCTGGTTTTGAGACCACTGTAATCTCAACTTTATGCTGTCTAGTCAATGCAGTTAATCCGAGGAACTCTCAGATACGTCTGGACTGGCAAAACTAACCTCCACTTGGACTGCAGAATTGCCCTTGAACTGGACGGAACAATGTGATTGTAAACCATAAAATACAAACAAAGAACATAACCAAAAAATTGGAAAAACTCTTTCGTATAAGCTTGATAGGACTATGCACACCGTGACGTTGCCCGTGTTTGAACCGGAAAAAACTGCTCAGTGCAGGGTCTTCAAACAAATTATTTACCAATGGCCATTGTCTCTCATTGTTTGAACAATAAGCTTACACCCACAGCTTATTATCAGTTTATATGAGGTATCCATGCATATTTATTTACACACGTTTAAACACATACATTTATTTTTTATATTTTGTCAAGTTAAGGGATGTATATTTTCATTTCTATTACGTGCAACGTTTTCAAGGATTTCTTTCTTGTTAAGAGAATACAACAGTTTAGTATTGCGCCAACGCTTTTGAAGTGCCCATTGAATAAACTCATCAACTACAACAAAGAAAATAGCCGAATTATTTTTCATGTGTCATTATAATTATAAAGGAAACCTAAAAATAGCCAGTGTAAAAAAAGGCATTAACATTTACATGACTATAAGAATCTAGACCGTTTTTGAACAAATTGTAAATATTTTGATACACATAATTTTTTAATTCTGTTATATTTTAAATTATTAATTAGATTTACAATATTTTATATTCTATATTTCAATGAAGTTTTTTTTCTAAAAATTTATAATAGTATTGAAAATAATTGCGAATTCAGCCTTTGGGGGCGAAGCGATTTTTTAATAAACTATATCTTATCTAAGTATCTATATCTCATATCTTAGAACGTGATGTTCCCATTTTAAGAAAGGGCTTTAAAGTCACGATTTTAACGGGAAATCTTTTGAATTTCACCGACGCATAGACACCTACGGCTCACGCAGTGGGAACCGCAGTCGCTGTAGAAACTGTAATTCCTAACTTTTTATTCTCTCGCTAACTTTTCCCGAGATGACCCCTCCTCAGATCAGTTGTCCGCTTTCTTCCTGTCTAGTTGTCGCGCAAGTCTCCCGCGAACTATGCGCGACCACCTAAAAATCAGAACCCTAACACGATACAACAACTGTAACGACAATGAAAAGGTCGCTAAAACACTGAATTTGCGCCTGTCACACCTTTCCGCGATTATTTCAAGCCGTCTGAAGAAGTCAAGTTAGAGCTCAAGAGAGAGGACCGCGTCCGACAGATACAATAAAATTTATCGCCTTTTCTTAACTAGATCGCTTAAAACTTGATCATTAATTTTACGTCCTAATTATGCAGGAACGACAAAAATTTTACAGATAAGCATGATGCAGGTGCAGAGTCCTTGTTTTCTTCACTAAGGGCCTGGTTACATGAGCAGGTTGGCCCTGGTTAAAAATCGAATATTCGCGGTCACAATCGCATAGCATAACATTGACCATGGCATTTAATTCGTCCAAACACTTGATGTTTAGCTATCCTTTATTTAAAAAAAATGCAGTTCAAGGTAGTTAGCTCGAAATAACTAATAGACCCTTTTTACCGATACGACGGCCATATTGAATTAATTGGATTTAAGTATTATTATGGGATGCCCAGGGGGCATGAGCACGATCTGATATACTCGCATCAGTAATTACGCGCGATTTGCAGACCTATTTTTCTCAAGTTTCCCTAGAAAAAGATTGTAATGGGAAAAAAAGATCGTTGTGCCGTGTTTGGATGTAATAATAATCACCTTTTTGTCGAGAAATATAATTTTTACTTTTCTTTTTGGCCGAAAAGCGCGCTTGAATACTGACCGAGTGCCCCCGGGCATCTCATAATACTCCTTAAATCTAATAAATTCAATATGGCCGCCGTATCGGTAGAAAGGTCTACAAGGAACACTGTTTTTACGCCTCCAACTGGAGAAGGGAACACCATTTTACGTGGTCATCCGAGCCACCGACCAAGGTCTAGCCGCTTGCAGTACAAAGAGAGTACCTTCATTTCTCAGTTATTTTAAGACCCTGAGTATTCGTCTGGCCCCGGGAATCGAACCCGCGACCTTCCGCTCTGCAGTCAACCGCTTTACCGACTGAGCTAATCCTGCCGCGATTATTGTTTACGGTTTCTTACATATCTGGAAGGTGTGTTAAGACATGGCTGATGGCATTAATGGTTTTTCTTTATCAATGTAGAAATCCACGAAGAAACATAAAACATGGTTGTAAGATTAAGAGAAATATTTTGCTGCTTCTAAGTCTCGTACTATATATCTTAAAGCATGTTAAAGGTCAGCAACTAATATAGATGTTTAGAGTAATTTCCCGATGTATAAAAACAAAAAACATGTGACAAGAGACAATAATCTTGTATGTGATCTTGACAAATAAACAGCTTCGACAACATATTAAGTTTCTTCCGTGTAGTTCTTTTGTCACTGCACCAAGATGTATCCCATGGCCTTGATGTGCTTCTGAATCAGTCACTTTTATCAACCCAGTACGTAGCTTCGTTTCCACAAGTGTTAGAGTCATCAAAATTTCCCCTAGTACCAAACCAGATTCTGGAGTCACATTTTATGCAATCCCCCTAATTGCTTCCAATGATGCTGATTCTTGCTTTGGAATAACCAGCGTCTTTGCTCACGGTGTTAAACCCCTCTTGGTTACATTAATTGAGCTGCAAGGAGGCCTTAGAACCAATCGGCAACTTCCACGTTTCACGATTCAATGAAGTGCTGCGGTTTTGCCCATCAGTAATCACTCAGGAATACAGGGAATTGGCATCCCTGTTAATTGCAATAAATTTGAACAGGTTCTCAATCTTCATACCGAGGCAGATCTTGGAGAATGATGTGTTCCAGTAGGAGGGAAGTTTGGTCTCCTATGAGTCAAACCTAGTCTTCCCTCGGTCAAGGTTAAAGGCTTCTTTGTTGCTTCAATAAGAGGTATAAATTGTAGTGAAACCACAGGTAGCCCAAGGTCGAAATATGAGCATCGGCGAACATCGGCATTGTTGCATAACATTCGAAATATAAGGATTTGTATGGGAAAAAACTATCGTTTCTGTTACCTAAATAAAAAAAAACCGCTTATCTTACTGAAAATGTGTGTGTTACGTCTCTCCTGTGTGGTCCACTGGCGGATTTATGGCCGTTTTGCGGGTTTTTAAGTAAACGGTTTTCTCACCATGAGGGGGGCGTAAGGAGGGTCCGAAAACCGCAAAACCGCACAGAAATACGCCAAAAAACCGCAAACCGCATCGGATTTTTTCCCGAATACGGAAACCGCGCGTACATGTAGGCCACAATATGAAAGCTGACGTCAGCAAGACTTGTGATATATTCTGATAACATTGTGCGTTAGTATTAAACATACCATCATAACGCTAACGATATATTGTACACTATTATACTCTATTTACTACTAACCAAATGCCAAGCGCAAACCGCTTAGTGTTTTGAAACCGCAATACCGCGAGTTGAAATAAAAATTACCGCAAAACCGCACCAAAAATAACGCAAAACCGCATCACCGCAAACCCTTACGCCCCCCCTCCTCCATATAAAGGTTTACCAAGGTTGGGCACTCCAGCGAAGCGGCCAGATTGACCCACCGTAGGAAAACGGCCGTAAATTCGCTCCAATTGCTCCAATCGCCTCCAAATTCCACCTAGGTAACACACGATAGTTCTCCTTTCCATTCGTCATCTTGCTTCAAGACGCCTTTGCACCAAGAGCAAATCAAAGGTCACCTGAAAGGTCGTAAATTTCTGCAATCGACAGAACCTTGGCTTGAACTCTGCGTTACCGTTGAAAGATAGCGACACGACCTGAGACTCAAATTACTCACACTCGGGGTGGGAGACAGTCACTTGCCCCCCTTGTTTTCTTTCTCGGGTATTGATGTCAACGGGAGCAAGAGACTGTCTCCCACCCCGGGTGTGAGTAATTTGAGTCTCAGGTCGTGTCGCTATCTTTGAACGGTAACGCGGAGTTCAAGCCAAGGTTCTGTCGTAGCGTAGTTCCATATGGTATTGAATGTAAGTATTGAAGTTCGCAGAACTCAAATAGAATCGGGCGAATGTTGCTAGATAAAAGCGTTGATTCAAAATGTTTATTATGTAAAACCCGCAGTCCGTGAACACACAGCATGACTCATTGTAAAGGAAAAATGGATGCCAAAGCAATTGCAATCATTGATCTCCGACGCTTTGTGTGGGCAGATTCAACGAATTTCTTTGGCGTGAACTTGCTAAACTGCAGTTTCCGCAGTGAATCACATATCACGCACGCGCTTGTGCGTTGTGTTCGTATTTTTATGGCATCTCTCTGATGGAATCTTGTACATTCAAGCACTATAGTTAAAAATTTAACCACAACAATGGAAATAATAATTGACTTTTTCTTTATAAGGAAGTAGTGTGACATTGTGATTTGACCCCTGATCGAATACATGTAAAGCCAGCATTGCACTCTTGAGATGAAAGTAAAGGACGGTGTGTGCGTCTGTAGATTTATGACATTACGTGAAGAAGACGGTCTTCCTATGCCTTCAAAATGTTTCTAAGCCTAACGATATTACGATAAACGTGTAAGTGGTAATATTCATCGGTAGTCTGGTAGGCATTTTGATGTTGAAAACGTTTCTCATCCGACTGCATTTGCTTGGTGACTATTATGCATGATCTGCTGTTAATGATGTAAAGCGTGTGCAAACGGGTCACATAAAAAATAGCCGTTACTTAATAACGACGGGTTGAGGAAATACTATTGTTAGTAGATGAAGATGTCATCATAGAGGCAGAAAACACAGAGACCAAGCGATCAAATGGATTCGGTCGTATAGTGAAATCGCCATCCCGCCAAAAAGCAAACAGAAAGAAGCAAAGCAACAGAAACACTAAGAGGCAAGCCCGTGATTCTGTGAGTTTAGACACCACGGCATTATGAAATCACCTGCGCACCAAGTAGAAATTTAAAGGTTAATATGTTTTAGCTTGAGTAAGCGAGTTTTATTGTAATGCCATGGTGTTCTAAACTTCTGAGTGCGAGTTTTATCATGCAACAGAAACACTAGGTGGCACGCCCGTGATTCTGTGAGTTAGACACCACGGTATTATGAAATCACTTGCACATAGAAGAAAATTAAGGGTTAATATGTCTAATATGTTTTAGCTTGAGTAAGCGAGTTTTATTGTAATGCCATGGTGTACTAAACTCCTAAGTGCGATTTTTAAAGCAACAGAAACACTAGGTGGCGCGCAAGTGATTCTGTGAGTTTAGACACCACGGCATTATGAAATCAGTGGCCCACCAAGTGGAAATTTAAAGCTTTATACGTTTTAGCTTGAGTAAGCGAGTTTTATTTTAATGCCATGGTGTTCTAAACTCCTAAGTGAGATTTTTAAAGCAACAGAAACACTATGTGGCGCGCACGTGATGCTGTGAGTTTAGGCACCACGGCATTATGAAATCACTTGCTCTCCAAGAGGAAATTTAAAGGTTAACTTGAGTAAGCGAGTTTTATTGAAATGCCATGGTGTTCTAAACTCCTAAGTGCGAGTTTTATCATGCAGCAGAAACACTAGGTGGCACGCCCGTGATTCTGTGATTTTAGACACCACGGTATTATGAAATCAATTGCACTCCAAGTGGAAATTTAAAGGTTAATATGTTTTAGCTTGAGTAAGCGAGTTGTATTGTAATGCCATGGTGTTCTAAACTCCTAAGTGCGATTTTTAAAACAACAAAAACACTAGGTGGCGCGTACGCGATTCTGTAAGTTTAGATACCAAGGCATTATGAAATCACTTGCGCTCCAAGTGGAAATTTTAAGGTTAACACGATTTAGCTTGAGTAAGCGAGTTTTATTGTAATTCCATGGTTTTCTAAACTCCTAAGTGCGAGTTTTATCATGCAGCAGAAACACTAGGTGGCACGCCCGTGATTCTGTGAGTTTAGACACCACGGCATTTTGAAATCAGTGGCCCACCAAGTGGAAATTTAAAGGTTAATATTTTTTAGCTTGAGTAAGCGAGTTTTATTGTAATGCCATAGTGTTCTAAACTCCTAAGTGCGAGTTTTATCATACAGCAGAAACACAAGGTGGCATGCCCGTGATTCTGCGAGTTAGAAACCAAGATATTATGAAATCACTTGCCCAATAGCTGGAAAATTAAGGGGTTTACAAGCTACAAAAGCTATATGTGTGTCTTACAGTGTTTTTAACAGGATATTTTCTTGTAAGAGACCCTCCGCCAGTTACATTTTTCGGCATTTACTAGTAAAAGATTTGTTTCCTCGTTACAAATAAAACACGAGTAGCAAAATCCCATTTCCGGCACTTTTAGTACGTCCTGGAATCTGGAAAGCGCAGTACGTAAAATTAACCGTTCATTCAGCAGAAGGCTTTTCTTTTTCTTTTGATACTGTTGCGATCCGTTCATGGAGTATCTCTTCTAATGCGGTTACATTTCAAAAACAATATTTTTGTGGTCTCGCGTTCTCCTAGCGCGAGTCCTTTTGCTTTTAATCACCTGGAAACTTTAGTTTTACGTGGTAGTTACAAAGAAACGTTTCGGCGCGGCCCACACAATGTAAATAAATTTAAGTAAAGTGGCCGAGTGTTCTGAATTTGCTCTCTTTTTCAAAAAAAATCGATGATGTCTTTACGGAGGTTCCGGTTATCGTTTTGGGACAAAAGCATATTTTGATTTGTTAATTGCTCCTGTCGGAATAAAATGTCATATGAATTAGCGAGATGACGTGCGAGTAATAAGTTCCAGGGGTTTCTCATGGTTCCCGACCTTCGGTCCTGCACTATGTTGTCGACACTTCCTTTGTTTTATATTGCGCAATCGGTCAATTCAGATGACCGTCGTGCACGTTTCTAAGGCTTGCAGGTCATCATGCAATCACAGCTGGTGGCATTTCTTACAAAAAACAATTTCTTGTCGGTGCATCAATCAGGATTCCGGAAGAAATATTCCCCCGAAACTGCCACTGTACATTTTGTTGATCACATCTTAGAACAAATGGATAAACAGAGGATTACCGGGTGCACTTTCCTAATTCTAAAAAAAGCGTTTGATCTCGTTGACGACCATTGTCTGCTGCATAAACTAGGGAACATTATGGAATTAGAGAGTCTGAAATGGTTTGAAGACTATCTTACTACTCGAACTCAGAAGGTCAAATATAACCAAAACGTGTCATCCAATCTAGGTATTGGTTATAGGGTCCCCCTAGGATCCATACTGAGCCCGATACTCTTTGTCATATACATCAATGATCTCCCGCAAAGTTTGCTCACGACATCAATAGGCATGTATTGACGCTTCGGTTATCTACTTCTCTGACTTCAGCGCAGAAATCATCAAGCAGGTTCTGCAAAACGATCTAAACAATGTTGAACAATGGTTAGCAAGCAACAGGCTCGTACTCAGTCAGAGTAAGACTAAATGGATCGTGTTTGGTACTAGGCAGAATCTAGAACACTGTTCAGACCATTGAATACAACTTCGCTGGAAAGAAATTGACGGGGTATCGAGTTTTTGTTACTTGCATGTAGGGGTTACACTCTATGGGAATCTCTCATGGAACGAGCACGTAGATTTGATTTGTAACAAAGTGAGCAAGCGTCTTGACCTACTGTCCCGCATACGACCTCACCTTACCCTAAAAGCTGCTAAATGCGTGCACAATTGTTTAGTACAGCCGATTTTTGATTACACTGTTACGGTATGGGGTGGGCTGTCAAAACAGGGCAGCATCGCACATAATACAAAGGAGGGCAACGATCGAAGAATCTTTCAAAATGTTAGGGTGGGTGGATTCGGGAAACACAAAGGAAAGCCAACAAATGTATCTTAGTTTTTAAATGTACTAAATGAATTAGTTCCTCCATATTCATTGGATTATTTTGTTAGAAATCGCACTATTTACACTTTAAAAAGACAAGACAAAGGAACGACATTCATCTACCGAAGTTTTCGTTAGGAAAAAAACCATTTAGATTTTCAGGTGTGGTTCTTATTAATAATTTACCCATATCAATAAAAGAAGATTTCTTAGGTTTCACTTCAGCCATTAGTTTTTTTTTTCTTATTAAATTCTTAGGTAACTTATCGAAAGCTCTCTTTTTTTTTCTTATTCTTAAACAAATTGTGATTTTTATGAAGATATGCAATTTCGCAATAGGGTAGGGATTTTGAGAGCGGGTACCAGTTTTGCCCTTTTTTGTTGGCGTTATGTTCCCGGTGTGATCCTGAGATAATGTGCCGTTATTATATCAGCTAAAATTCTAGTGCGTTAATGCCCAGCTAAACAAAAAAAAAATCATACATTAGAATTGAACTTTACCTTCTTCGAGTATTGGGAAAGCGACTTAGTCAAGGTTTGTTTGTTACAATTGAATTTTTAGTTTTTGTTTTCCTTTGAACCCACGACCCTCCGTGATCTAGTCGGATGCTCTAACCACTTGAGCTACTGGAGACTCTATGGTGAGCAAGGGCCAATTTGTGGGTCTCGACTGGAACCGCATCACGCGGCTACACAGCCAAGTAATGATAGGCACACAAGAAGTGAAGAACTCACTAACAGCATCGCGCTGTCACCTTAAAGCATATCCAAGATGCGGCCAACCAACCTTGGTCCTTATGATAAGGATAGGGAGTCAAGTTTCGTTTGTCTCATCTATAACTAGGGTCATGGTTTGAGTTCCTGAGTGGTACACTTCTATCCGAAATTTACGGGAGAACCTCACCCGGAAAATGAATACATTTAAATGCTAGCTTTTCAAGCTCCTTGTTATAATTCCGAAAGAGTTAGTTATATATAACGTTAAAGTTTTGTTTAGCCACAACTATGCAGAATATGAGCGCCTAAAGTAAATTGAGCAACAATATTGCTTTGTAGAGAAAAGCATCTGATATTTAACAGTTAATGAATGAGGCTGAGTAGCTTATGAAGAATTATGGAGATCGAGGAGGGTGTTAACACCCTCCGAGATCTCCATAATTCTTCATATGATACGAAAGCCGAATTCAATAACTGTTTTATTATTCATTCAAAATAATTCCAAGTTTAAAAACATAGCTAAAACATGCTTACCTCCATCGATCCATCGATGTTCAATTCATCTTCGATAGTGTACGTTTAGGTTTGTCCAGCCCCGCCAATATTCTCCAAATAGCAGATGTCGCCCTTCGAGTTGTCTTCTTGCTGTTCCTGCCGTGTTTTTAGCTATTTTTTCGCCTAGTTCTTTCTCTTGAAAAACGAGTGAAATGTCCGCCATTTTTTTAAGTTCACAACCAAAACAACTCAACCTCGTCCCCAGGTCTTCTCGGTTAACGGTGCCTTAACCTGCGAAAAACGCTGCATTTTTGACGTCATTTCCTCGTTAAAGTCAAAATTCTTCCAAATTTGGTCATCAGTAACTGGTTATGGTGAATTAAACGTGTGCTTTTAGCCAATCGGAATTGGGGAAATATTTTGAATAGCTTTAAATTTTTTAACCCCGACTGTTTACTGAACGAATTAACTATAAGATCGAAAGAAAATAGCCGTATCAGTTTTGAAGGCAATTAAGGACACCCTGACATGACGATGCTTTCAAGACCCTTCAAAGTTACAAAGTTAATGCTCTATTCTAACTTTCATATTCTCACTGTGGGACTGAGGTAGGGACTGAGTGTTAATGTGACGTCTCACCAATATAAACGTTTCTGATAACTGATTTCGCGTCATTTCAAACTTTCTCTCTATTATGCCAAAAGTCGTTCGCAAGAACTAAAATTTAGGAAATTAAGTTGGAGCTGGAAACGGGAACCACGTACGAGCTTTACAGACTGCAAAAGTTATCGCCTTGCCCTTCACGTGTTTGAGGAAACTTAAAATTTCATCATTACGTCGTAGTAAGCAGAAAGCGCGATGCAGGTGTAGTGTTGTCTTGCTTACCAAAGCTATTGTTTTGTTTTGCTTAAGTTTGTTTTAAATTTCCGTTTCTGTTGCCGTCGCCGTTTCGAAAAATAAGTAGAGACCTTACGAAGATACTACAGCGGAGGTGAAAAAACGATAGATTTAGGCTTTTCGTGGGGCCACGATCCAGTATACTTTGCCAAGTCCCAGCCAGTACGCCTTTGTCCCAGGCCTTCTCGGTCAATTCACTTCGGTGACGTATCCGAGGGCAAAGCGACGAGGGGGAGGGGAAGGAAAACGCCCTTACTTCTTCGCTAGGAACACGTGACCCAAAACGTATTGGCCACGCGTAATAATGAGGCCTATGGGCTAAGCAACGGAACTGTATGAACAGCAACGGCCCGGGTCGGCAAAAGTCGTTTACAAACATCGCGATTGAACATCGTGCCGGCGCGGTTGGCCAAGAATGTTTGTTGGCGAAATTTCAGTGCTCACTCCCTCCTGAATATTTATCTCCCTCTCAGTGGGTTCCAGGTCTCGCTCCTACTTATTTACTTCTGCGAGGGGCCGAATAGGTGATAACACAGCACCACAGTATGGCACAAAACCTATCCGATATGTGACACTCCACTTTAGAGACTGGCCCGGCGCAGCTTCCCTTCGTTACAGAAATCGCGCCGCCACACCCGTTCGTGTGTGTGGACAGAAGCCCTATACGGTCTGACAGTTTCGTCGTCTAGCAAAAGATATCCAGTATAGTCAGCCTCGTCCCCAGGGCGCTTTTCCCTCACCTCCAAAGCCAGGGAAAAGCGCCCTGGGGACGAGGTTGCAGTATAGTCAGTATCATTTAAGGAACATAGCTAAGTTCAGGAAGTACTTAAGTGAAGATACCTCTCAAATTTTAGTACATGCGTTTATTAGCTCTAAACTCGATAACTGTAACTCTTTGTCATATGGTCTTCCTAAACACCTGTTAAACAGGTTAAAACTGATACAAAACACTACTGCACGCATTGTTACATTATCTAAGCGGTTTGACCATATCACTCCTATCCTGTTCAAACTTCATTGGTTACAGCTAAATTATCGTACACATTTTAAAATTTTACTCTTAGTTTAAAAATGTCTAAATGGCTTGGCACCATCTTACCTATCCGAACTTTTACGTTACACTAATGGTCCACAATTACCTCGTTCTAGTTCCCAGAATTTTCTAGCCGTGCCTAGGACTAGGTTAAAGACGTATGGTGATAGGGCTTTTTCCGCAGCTGCTCCTAGGTTATGGAACCAATTACATCCTGAACTCAGGGGTGTTACATCTATCGACCAGTTCAGGACGCAGTTGAAGACATACTTATTTAAATTAGCCTACGATGTTTGATTTTAGTTGTTTTATTTAATTTTTATTTTATCTTATAATAGTTTTTGACTCTAGTTTCTTACCATATTATTGTACAGCCCTTTGAGAAATTAGTGGATACCGCGCTATATCAGCGTCTATTATCATTATCTATTATAGTGTGAACATAGCTTAAGCCTGCGTTCAAATGGCACCGGACGAATTTTCATCCGGCTGAAAAAAAATTGACCTCGACACTTTGTTCACAAGGAACCGTTCAATATTTTTGCTCCGTTTAGACAGAACTTGGCTTTGCTAGGCGTCAAAATTTTCGTACATTTAAGGTACCCAATTCCGTGTGAATGGAACACCTAAACGTATAAATTTTCCGGCAACGGGTCGAAAATTCATCCGGTGCCGTGTGAAAGTTGACCTTAGGACCTGGTTAAAAATCCAGTATATTAATTTCGCTGTGACAATCACGTAGTAAAACATTGACGGAGACATTTTGATTTGTCCAAACAAGTCATGTTTAGACATCTTTAATTATTATTTTAGGTTTCTTACATAAATTATCTTGAAGGTGTGTAGCCTTTGTAGCAGGCGCGGATAACTATCTTATTTAAGGCCACGCGAGGGAAACACGAAAAGAGGAGAGGAGGCCTTCTCTCCATTCTTCCCTCGAGCGTCCTAGAGATTTCTTCTTCGTCCTAAAAAAAAAATTGGCGCATGCTATAAAGTGTGTTAAGACATGGAATGACCGCACTAATGGTTGTGTCTTTTAGTTTAGAAATCCACGAAAAAAATAATATAAAACATAAGGTTGGTAAGAGAGAGACTTTTGTTCTTGGACAATCGTAGTTTTATCAGAAATAAAACACAAACAGCGGTGATAAATATTGTGAGCTTTCGCAATTTTGATATAAACTAAACGTTTCCTATACTATTCATCAAACATTTTCAAAAGTGGTCTAAAGTGACCGTTACAGATAGTCTTGTCATAATGAAAAGTTACTTCTTCTAAATAAAATGTTAAAGGTTAGTAAACAAACTGCAGCTCATATAGATTACTGAGATGTTTAGGGTAATTCCTCTATGTATATAAACACTCAAGAGGGGGGTGGGGGGCGGTTCTTAGGTCAATTATGGGCCGCTGGCCTCTCAGAGCCCCTACCCCAGTATAGTCTATTCTGTGGCCAATCATAGACCCATCTTAATCACTTTTGGGCAAATATGTAATTTTTGCGATCCTAACTTGGTCACTTCCTGTAAAATGAATTGACCCATTTTTTAAATTGAATGAAGAACACTTTACTTTTCACTTACAGTACAAACATCCTAGTACGTTTGCTTACCGTAAAAATAAAGAACTTTAGTTCCCCAAAAATCCGAAAATGTGCGACCCCATTCCAGTATCTCTATTGAAAATGTGACCCCACTATAGTCAATCCAGTCGTAAAAATGCGACCCCATCGAGCGGCACATCCCCGTTACCCTCTTTTAAGGAATCCCCCCCTCTCCCCGGTATAAACACATAGCATCTATGATCGTGACACAAAAACGTTTGACAAACGTAATTTAGTTCGGGAATGGTCATTATTTATCGCCTGTGGGGATCGGAGGTTTTGGGGCTAAACACGGTAAAATTCAGCCGACCGCCCCCCCCCCCCCCTCCCCCTTTAAATGTCACTTCACTGAAGTGATTCCCCCATAATAACTATTGATAATTTATTGGATTTCACCATCTGGATCCATTTTATATTCTTGCTTTTCAAGTTTCACAAACGTACTATAAATTAAACAATAGTTAAAACAGTCTTTTAAACTAACAAAGCTCCGGCGGTTAAGTCCTTCCAGAGACAATTACTCAAACTCTTCGACATAATTTCCCAACAGATAGGTAAAATCGTATACTCTAGCTGGAATCAAGGATCATTATGCTCAGTTACCAAGCATTATACTCAAATGGAAAACGAAGAATCAATGGTAAGGGGCCTATGTATCTGGGAAAATATCTTACATGGTATTGTGGCCTTAAATGAGGGCAAATTAGACTTACTAATAGGTATATATAGAGTACAACTGACAACAAGTTTGACGGCTAATCACCTGGGATAACGTAAATCACGGTTGGCCCTTAAACCTCAATAATAGGGAGCTTAAGCAACAACGTTTTTGAGCGACGCACGTCAACCGGAAGTGGGTTTTTTTCATTTTTTGACGGTGGTTTCGCGCAAATTTTCAGTCAAATCGCCTCTATAACAGTAAAGAAGCTAAGGAATACAAATTTTATATCATCAAGGCATGTTAAGAGGGAAAATACCTCACTTCCGGTTGACGTGCGTCGCTCAAAAACGTCGCTGCTTAAGCTCCCTATTGTGACCCTCCAAAAACTCTTAAATATTTCAGATACCAATCTTATTAGGCCTTTGATACAATCACTAAACTGTTATTAATTAAACTTTCATCTTTTTGACTACATGATCACCGACAATGTAAAAAATAGCCAGTGGGCTATGTTGGAATGGGTATACCTTTGTTCCATTGATCTTCATGACCAGCGTCCATCCTCCACCTCCGCATGCGTCATTTCCAGTATGGAACGGGGTCATTTTGCAGTAAATGTCAAAAGCGTCATCTCCCAAAACCAGTGGATAAGCTTTGCTCTCATTTGATCTGCGAGGAAAAAATAAGACGTGATATACCTTTTTCAGGGACAAAGGCTTTCTATATCAGCTGCAGTCTGCCTTCAGGAAGTATCACTCAACGGAAACGGCCCTAAGACTGCCCTAACTAACATCTTTGTTCGTATGCTCTTCAATTATGTTCTTATTAGCTTAGTTCTGGCCGACTTCCAAAAAGCATTCGATCTGGTAAGCCACGACATCCTGATTGAAGAGCTGCGTATCTATGGTCTTGATGAATGCAGCTTGGGTCTTATGCGCTCCTTCCTTCATAGCCGCAGCGCACGGTTATCCGCGGAAGTGCACAATCTTCGTCCCAGACTCTCTCTCGCGGAATACCACAGGTGTCCGTACTCTCTCCACTACTTTTCCTGGTGTTTACAAACGACCTTCCCAAGGGAGTGTCGCAACCAACCACAGTTGATATCTTCGCAGATGATACGACTTTAAGTTTGTCCTCGCCATACAAAGATACTTCTGGACTATGTTCTAAGATCTGTGAGAGCGCCGGTGAACTCGAGAACTGGTCTAGAACTGAACCGTTTCAAGTCGAATACCGAGAATGAAGACAAAGTCTATGTTTGTAACTGGAAGTAGGCTACGCACTAAAATCGGTGGTACCAGTGTCAATTTACCATTTTTTTTACTGCTTCTACTCTTTTTAATATTTGTTAATTAGGTTTATATAGTTTAGGGGAGGGCGACAAGTTTACCGTTTCACCCTCGGGTATTTACCGAGGTTGCAAAGCGGCGAGCTTAATTTTTCCACAACTAGCCACCGACACTGAGGTGAATAATTTATTTAGTATATACTAAAACAGTGAGATAATTGCACACGAAAATGATGATTTGAAACTCATTTACTGTTACCAACGATTACAATTTTGGCGCGCAATGACCGAACGGCCTCGGGGGTCGCTTTTTCTTGCCGACAAATAAAACTTTTGAAGGCATATATATTTGTTTAGTTCTTGTGGGGAAATTTCTTCAAAAGGAGTTTAGAATTCTTTTTGTATTTAAAATAATTCGGTAAAAAATAATACTATTAAATTAAGTTTTAAGCTTATTTATGAACAAGTCAAACTAAATAAAGTAACGCAAGACTTTAGCTTAATTTGCATTTGTAAACAAAAAACTTTTTCACCGGTTTCATCGATAAATTCAAGTAAAAAAGACAAAGCTTTACCTGTTAAAACTTCTAAACCGAACTTCGTCACCTCTTTGTGTATTCCGGGAACAGCTTGCATGATAGGTAGTGAAATTTCTTTGTTTGTTACGGCAGCAAACCGGCAAGGCATTTTGCTCGCAACTTACGCGAGTTTGGCGCCGCTCGCTCGGAGGAACTGGAGGTGAATCGGTGAATAGTGCAGGTAATTCACTGATTGACTAGCCAATCAGAACACTATCCACTGTTTTAGTATATACTAAATAAAGGTATTCATTCATTCATTCATTCATTCATTCATTCATTCATTCATTCAGTGTGCAGTTCAATTGCCAGTAACGATTGGTTGGTACGTCAATCTCTGCAAAGGTCTAATGTGGCTTGTCAAACAATCACCTTGACGCGTAAAGAGGGCGGACGGTTCCATACGATCAGAATACCTACCGTTACGTACTGTATGTCTTTCTAATGGAAATAAGGCCTAGTCCAAACGTCGAACTTTTCATGAGACGAACAAACTCTAATTTGGGTCGACCTAAATTAGGTTAATATCGTCTGCTGGGTCAGATCTAGACGTCGAACTTTACGCGTCGAACCAATCAACTGAATCAGACAAAAAGGCTAAATATGCATTCTCATACAATCTTTCAATTTATTAGTTTAGTTCGTCGCATGTGAAGATCGACGTTTGTCCTGGAGACGATTCTCTTTAACTCAAAACGAACCTAATTGAACCAGACGTCGACGGAACTTTCAATGTCTAGTGAACTCACTAAAAGTTTGGTTAGTCTCATGAAAAGTTCGACGTTTAACCTAGGATTAATTTTAATATGCAAATTTAGACAAACATAAAAGCGGAACTTCCCAGAACTGCAAGCAGTCTCTTCGCTTCAGAGCTAGTCGAACAACATGCAGCAACAACAACAATCTTTATTAATAAACAGATACCATTACAGAAGCACTGCTCGCAGCTAGCAAGGCTGTTCGAGGCGGAACGGTGCGTAAATAATGAAATTAAGAATAAGGCTAATTAAGGAAAGTTTACTAATAAATGAATTCAAAATCGTAATATAGATGAGGAATAGATAATACGATAAAGAAGAAAAAAATAAACAAATAACAAATTGTAAAAGTAGAAGCGAATCACGCGCAAGAATCTATTTTTTGACATTTTTGGCTAATTTAACTATTTCATTTAATTAGGGTTGGGTATATCATGATCAATATAGTCATCATCTGAGTTCAAAATATCAACAAGAATCGCCGAAGGGCGATTTTTAACTGGGCTGCAAAGGGGCTATTTTTTCTGAAGGGAGGGGGCGGCTATACAAACTTAGGCTACCATAAAACCTTGTCGGCAACCATTGCATGCGACAGAACCTCATGTGAGACTGAAACATAAACTCATTCAGAACATTGTACCCTTTTGAAAGACTTTCGTAACCAAAAAAAAAGAGTACCATTTTTAAGTGGGGGCTGTATAATAACTTTTAAATTCCACCATTATGAATAAAAATAAACAAGTTAGCCATTAATTCTGAGCAGGAAACAATTTGCATTATTTCCACGCACCCCTCCCCCAATCCCTCTGTGCCCCAAAATACAGCGTGACAGTATAACGTGACTAATTTGACGTAACTGGAAATTCCAAAAATCGTTGTCGTTCTAGGAGCATAAAATGCGACAGATTGAGCTGATTTACACTAGACAGAAATATTGTATTGTATGAAAACCAGAAGTATACTAAAACAGACAGTTAACTGCCCATTGATCCCGCCTGATCTAGGGGCCTCACTGACTGCGCGGAGACTTTACTGCGCTTTTCACAAACATGCGAACCACCTTCACAATTGTGTTTATCGCTGCCGTCAATCATAATTACGATCACAAGCAACGAACCTTGAAACAGAGAAACACACAAAACGGATCGAAATCTACAAATCACAAACCATGACCTTTTGTGGGGTCGGCCATTTGTTTCAAAATTATGACACGATATACGTGCGGTTTTTTCCCACGTATACTTGCAATCATTCCTGCTACAGGATATACGTGCGTTTTTTTTGTCACGTATTCTTGCGTTTTATTCCCAAGTATATGACCATTTTCTTACAAACGCGCATATATATGCGCACAAAAAAGTTCATATATATGCGTTACAAACAAGCATAATGGTATATGGGGTCACAGAAAGTCGTCGTATAAGAGGCACCGAATTATACCGTCAGGAAAAAACCCCTTCATGTACGATGGAGCTGAAAAGTAACTTCAGTTTGAATCAAGCATGGCCGCAATGGCCGCGTTAATTTCGAGCAAGATTTGGTTCCTAATCATTGCCCTCACAGGAGTGGTGGTCGTTGGCTCCCCGACAACGGATTTGTTGGAATCCGTGGATTGTCTCTTGAGAGACTGTGTACGCTATTTCACAAATGCTGACCGAAACAACGATCGATTCAGTTAGAAATTTTGTCCGACAGGCAAAACACGACTCATAAGCACTTGATAATGCGAAACATGACCTTGAGAGTCTGCTTGAACAGATTGGTTTTTCTTCTTTTCTCTCTCGCGTGCGAATTATCACCTTTTCGCCTCCACGAACACGTTCTAAGCCTCCCAGTCTCGAAGCTTTTTATCATTTCTCTGGTATTCTCAACAAATTTTTATACGGCGGAGGCCCACCCCTTAACCTCTTATATACCATTTTTCACGATTTCGTATACCTTCTATTGACAAATGGTATTTCTTTCACATATCTTGCTTAGAACTTTGTATCCTTTTTAACTGCTGGAAACCCACACTGTCATAAAATAGGAATCAGTCACAAATGTAGAACGCTCTCTCGAGGGGTAAGGGGTTGGACCTCGGGGCGGAGCCTCCCCGTATAGGCCATCATAGGGAGTACCCTCTCCCCTGGCATAGCAAGAAATAATCACATTCCTGGACAAAGAAACTTACATGCATGCATGTAGTTATTCCGTAGATCCAGGATTTATTGAGAAAACCATAGAAACTAAAACCTTTATTTAGCCATAATACTAAATTATAAAGCTTTAGGTTTAAACAGAGTTCAAAGAAAATTAAAACACTTTATTACAACTGCATCTGAGGTCAACTCCTATCAGGAACACCTAAAGAACCATAAACCACAGGAGATGATTACTCAGTATGCATGTAATTCTCTGTAGTGCTAGTAACTTTAACTTTAACTTAATTATTCCATCATTCATATAGTACAAAACTCAGTAAAGCCAAAGCCGGGGGCTTATACGACCTGTGGTCAAAATGACAGAAATTATTTTACGTAGAATTGAAGCCACTGAAGGCTAAATTTCAAAACTAAAACAACTGATACAAAACTTAAATTAAGTAACGCAAGCAGTCCTATAGCAGAGGTAAAAGTAGAAGTACTAATGACAAATAAACGAACAATAAACTATGATAATCCTGCAATAATTCAATCCAGGCTTAAAAAGTAAAGTTTTAGTTTCTATTTAAAGTCAGTGGTGGTAAGGCTGTTACGGACACCGTGAAGGGTATATCAGTGGGATATCCTTGGCCAAATAATCGGGGCTTGAGAACTAATAGCAAATTGATACCTGAGGGACATTTTGTGCAAGTTGAACGAGAACGAGTTAGATAAGCATGAAAATCACAATTAAAGTGGAGGAGCACTAAGGAGGCAGGTGGAAGGCTATTAAAGTCAGTGAGAATACCAGGGAAATGATAAAAAGCTTCGAGACTGGGAGGCTTAGAACGTGTTCGTGGAGGCGAAAAGGTGATAATTCGCACGCGAGAGAGAAAAGAAGAAAAACCAATCTGTTCAAGCAGACTCTCAAGGTCATGTTTCGCATTATCAAGTGCTTATGAGTCGTGTTTTGCCTGTCGGACAAAATTTCTAACTGAATCGATCGTTGTTTCGGTCAGCATTTGTGAAATAGCGTACACAGTCTCTCAAGAGACAATCCACGGATTCCAACAAATCCGTTGTCGGGGAGCCAACGACCACCACTCATGTGAGGGCAATGATTAGGAACCAAATCTTGCTCGAAATTAACGCGGCCATTGCGGCCATGCTTGATTCAAACTGAAGTTACTTTTCAGCTCCATCGTACATGAAGGGGTTTTTTCCTGACGGTATAATTCGGTGCCTCTTATACGACGACTTTCTGTGACCCCACATACCACATGCTTGTTTGTAACGCATACAAATGGGCTTTTTTGTGCGCATATATATGCGCGTTTGTAAGAAAATGGTCATATACTTGGGAATAAAACGCAAGTATACGTGACAAAAAAACGCACGTATATCGTGTAGCAGGAATGATTGCAAGTATACGTGGGAAAAAACCGCACGTATATCGTGTCATAATTTTGAAACGAATGGCCGACCATACTTTTGAACCCGTGAAGTAAAGTTTTGTTTCCTAAGAGGTCCGTTAAGATGATTGACAGCAGCGAAAAACGCAATCGTCGGTTGGCTTCCGAACTTCAGAATTCGCATGTTTGTAAAAAGTGCGATCCTAATTTGCGGTCCACAGTCTACAAGAAAAAGATGAAAAATATTCAGTTATAAGATTTTCGTCATGGTATTTTTCTCTAACTTAAAGGAATAAAATCCTTTGCATTTTGAGACCTAAAAAAGTTTAAAGATTTCTCGCTCGCATGTTGCGTTCACCAGCACGCACTTCAGACAATGTAAATAGATAAACGATCGATAACATACTTTTTACCTGATACCGATGCGAGTTAAAAATTCGCTCCAGTTCTGTTTGTCTCACCCAAGACGAACTTTTCTTCATGGAAGATAACTATGCCGCTTTATAACTCGTCCGAAGTTTTTGTGCCAGCTAAACAATACGGAAACACTATTGACAGTGACTCCTTGGATATTAGAAAGACTGAACGTGACGCACTCAGCCTTTGTTTACTTCTGATCACATCTTCAAGCGAAGTCTCTCTTTCCAAGCGATTCATCTCAGTGCACAATAATTGACCCTTATATTAGTTAAAACCCTATGGTTCATTTATATTCATGCTGTTTTTACCCCTCACATTGACTGTGTTCGTTCGTATTCAAAACACCTTTACAAAAATAAAGGTCGTATAAGTCATGTGTGTTATGTTTCGAGATAAATGGATTATACGATTTTTTAAGTTTCCATTTTGCGGGGACTTCAGTTTACATCTCCATAAAATGGTAAAAGAAATATCAAGAAACATCACGAGAGCTGAAAACTTTCAAAGGCATATTTCTGAAACTCGCTAATGCTGACATCAATATAGCGTGCTTGCTGAATGGGCGAAAACACAGAATTGTGATCACAAGATCATGTACAAATTTAATGATAAAAGCTTAGCAAGATACAAATATAAACAAAAGCAAAACCCCTGAAACCTCGACGTGGGCAACACTTGTATGCTCTACTCAGTCACCAAACCTTGTCAGTAATAGCTCCTATTTTCCTCAAGTCGCTCTCTGTGAAGCTCCCGGATGGGATGTCCCCGTGAAGCTTTAAACTTGTGTGCGAAATTCTCAGAGTCCCTATTTTTGTCCGTGTCTTCTTTATCGTCAGTATCCGAAATTTAGACCTCCAAAGTGGCGTGTGTTACATTAAATAGAAGGAAATATCTAAAGGAAAAGCCAGTCTTCTAACATGGCAAAGTGGTCACGTCCCTCGCTCATGGACGTGCGTAATGCCATTCATCGGCAACTGAGTTGTTCGCTTCACTGACTACGAAGGCTTACAATCAAGTCTTCAGCCATAGTGACGTCAACTGGTGAAATACCTTTCTCATAAATTAAGCTTCTTAATTGCTCATGTACTACATCGATCGATAATTCTCTCTTTGAGTTCACGAAGCGGCCACGGCGTTCCAAACTTGACGCTCACAGTCATCTTTTAGTGTGAACCTACCGTGAACGGCGTGTCGGTTTGAATGCAACGCGAGCATTTCTCTGAGTTTCCCAGCGCCAACATCATCTAACTGACTTAAACTCGAACAATAAAAAAATTATAGAGTGACTACCATGATCGAATCGCTTCGAACAACGAAAATAGCCTTCTTCAGGTTCGCAACGTTTTGTGGGTTTTTCAGGGGGAGTGCAGACGAGGTACAAAAAGTATCCGTGCCAGGGTTCGTGCAAGAGAAAATCATATGAAACCATTTGTGAGAACATCGTTTCTCGGTACCAGACCCTCGTGTCTTCCCTCCGCCGGGAGGCCGTTTTTCGCCGCAGACGACCGAAAGCCCATTTTATGACTGGGCCGCAGAGGCAGCCCAGTAAAAAGTAATTTGCGTAGTGTTTCTAGTCAGAGGCGTAGCCAGTAATTTTGGATACAGGGTTTCCTAAGGTGATATCGGCTGTGAGAGGTGTTATAGGTTAGGCTGCATGTCCTCAGATGGAGTTTTCTTTATTCTGGCCACAAATTTCAAATAATGTTAGAGGCAAATTAAGCTAGAATTTCTAAGAGGGGATTGCAAATCATGCTTCTTGAAGAGAAGTGCATGAGTCATTACATTATTAAACATGACGATTGTTGCACTAAAGTCAATTTTTCTACGACAACAGATGTTTATTTCGACGTTTTACATAGTGATAACCATAAAATAAACAATTTGTGGCTTTTACTCACATTTTCTTGTGGAAAAGGACTTTACACGATGAAACTGTGTTACAAAATAAAACAAATGATGTAATGAATAGAGATGCCTTAATAAATGAATGAATAAGCAATAAATAACGTGCGAGTCCTTGTATATCCAAATGGTCATGTACAACCCTGACATGAGACATATAGAGGCTGTTTACATGATACCAGTATGACTTTCATTGACATGATAAATTCGACTGGTTCAGCACTTAAAGGCCCGGTTCAGACGCCGCTCCAATCATGTGCCGAACCTGTCATGACCGATAAAAATTAAGTACGGCAAAAGATCAGCTCCTGAATCAATTTGGTACAGCAGTTTAAATTTGGTGCTACAAAAACGCCAAACTCGACAGAATCTGTCGCAATTTATTCGACATTTACTTTCATTTTTGTTTGGCATAAAAAAAAATTCGATTTCTGGGCAAAGATTTTCAAGTTAGGATCGCCGAGTTCACAACACGGTCTCTTCTACTCAAGTTGAATAAACAGTAGTGTAAACATTTCATGGAACAAAAAAAAAAAGGCGCCGTTTTGAATCCTTTAAGGCCTTCTCTTGTCTTAAAAAAATATCAACCCTAGGATTTTGTGGAATTTCGAGGACGACGACTACGAGGGAGAGATGATTTAAAGTTTTCCTCATATTCTCAAAAAATCGACACCCCCGAAAGTTTCGTTGTATCTTTTTTTTACCAAAAGGGTTAGCACGGTTTTTTTATTGAAGGAGGTTAAACCATAGATCTCCCGAACACAATTATGATAAAACTTCAAACAGTTGAAGTTGTTTCCGTCACTACGGCATTCTTGCTAAAACTCGTAGTATAATTACGACGGCTACCTCGCTTCCCCGCCAAAACGACCCTGGTTCGATCACGCGCGTGCACTACTTAATTAACCCTAAGAAAGTGGTCCTCTCATAGGTAACCCAGGCTCTGTGATAGTACCACAGTACGGTTCCAGTAAATTACAGTGTTTGTATGGGGTAAAAATATCATCCTAAAATTTCTAGGAAATACTAAATAAAGATCAATAAAACTTACTCTGCAGTTAATTGTTGTTGTCCTTATTGCTCCAACGCAGTTTCGTGATAATTTGCAGTAATTTGTTTAAATTCACTCTAGCTACAATAATAATATACAAGGTAGGAAACACGAGGTGCCATTTTCGCCGACATGCTCTCATTCAACACAACTTTTTTCCACGAAATTCGAACTCAAACGGAAAATAAACATGCCAGGATCGTAGAAATAGGATAGCAGCAGATATATAGAAACCAATGAAGCTTTCCCAGATAGAGAAACGAATCCCACAGACTTTGACAAACTCGAAGAATATAATCCAAACAGACCGAGAATATGCTCGCCGAAGCAGCCGGGCCAGATCAACACGCTGCCAAGAAAATGAGGCCTGGGCACTGTACAAAAAAAAATCATCCCGGGAGTCCTGAGGTGACCTTTCTGGGCACCGATACATCATTTGCCCAAAGCCACCCTACCCTGCTGAAAAAATACTTAATAGAAGGCAATTGTTCTTCCTAGCCGTACCACCCTGGCCTGTTATAAAGAGATTATGTCCCTCTCGAACTATATTCAGCGCCTGGCGCTGGTCCTCAGAAAGTTTATCAAACATCAATAGGGCAAGGTTATAAGGGCAAAGGAAAGGACAACGAAGGAGGATTTACAAAACTTAAAACGAGCAAAAGATATAAGTGAATTTTGGCTCTTACCGAGGCATTTGTACAACAGGACCAAATTCAAAGAGGGGTGTATCACGATGATTCACATATTTAACCGATAGAGCGTTCACTTGTATTGACAAGAAGTCGGCGTGTTACTGCCGCATTAATCGCCAAATATGTTAATCACGCTAGTTCTTTGTTTACTGGTGCACGTGCCTTTCACATTCGTCTCACATTCGTCTCAGTATGAATATAGTTCGAGACGGACATAATCTCTTTATAACAGGCCAGGGTGGTACGGCTAGGAAGAACAATTGCCTTCTATCAAGTGTTTTTTCAGCAGGAGAGGGTGGCTTTGGGCAAATGATGTATCGGTCCCTAGAAAGGTCACCCCAGGACTCCCGGGATGGAATTTTTTTGTACAGTGCCCAGGCCTCATTTTCTTGGCAGCGTGTTGATCTGGCCCGGCTGCTTCGGCGAGCATATTGTCGGTCTGTTTGGATTATATTCTTCGTGTTTGTCAAAGTCTGTGGGATTCGTTTCTCTATCTGGGAAAGCTTCATTGGTTTCTATATCTGCTACTATCCTATTTCTACGATCCTGGCATATTTATTTTCCGTTGGAGTTCGAATTTCGTGGAAAAAGTTGTGTTGAATGAGAGCATGTCGGCGAAAATGGCACCTCGTGTTTCCTACCTTGTATATTATTATTGTAGATAGAGTGAATTTAAACAAATTACTGCAAATTATCACGAAACTGCGTTGGAGCAATAAGGACAACAACAATTAACTGCAGAGTAAGTTTTATTGATCTTTATTCAGTATTTCCTAAAAATTTTAGGATGATATTTTTACCCCATACAAACACTGTAATTTTACTGGAACCGTACTGTGGTACTATCACAGAGCCTGGGTTACCTGTGGTCCTCTTCATAATCTAAAGGTCTCTAATAGCCAGCTCCACGCACCCAGAAGCACATGGGATCGATGCTGATGCAACTAGGGGCGTGGATTCCTCTATTCCAGGAAAAAAAAACAATAATTCCTCTCAATCAACTGAAGAGTAGCCCCGTTCTCTGCGATAGCAATTTTTTTTCGAATTATATGTTCACTTTTTTTTTGTCTTTTTTCAATTATTACTTTAAGAACTTTTTATGGATACTTATACTATTGATTCCTCGCGACAAATAAAATGCTTGCGCTGATGCTTTCCAAACACTTATTGTTTAAGGAATACGCCTACTGTCTTCGTCCATTTTCTAATTTATATAAATAATCGTCATGCAAACATATATACAGGCCATTACTTTGTGCTTTTTGGATTGGTAGGATTTAAAGGTACTGTTGGCTAAAAGAATTATTTGATGACGTTTTTGTGTAAGTCAAAATTACCAAGACTTTAGTTATTCCGGATACCACAAAACCGAATCTAGTCGGTAATTGTTTTTGAATTATATACATTGTTCGTTTTGAAAGAAATAACGACAAATACTGACCGTCGCATGCACTGAAAACAAAAACATAATTTTTTCTAAGTGGATACAAAGCCTTCCAACTCACCTGGTTCACAGTTCTTTCCATCTCCGTAATATCCCGGATGACAAGTGCAGTTGTATCCTCCCTTGGTATTATTGCAGTAAGCGTTAGCATCGCACGTGTCCCCCCGGGTATTTTTTGCACATTCGTCAATGTCTATAAAAACAGTCTATGATTAATGCATGGTTATATTAATCAGACGAAAAAATGGTTGGCTGAAGCCTTCTTGATGTAAGACAAAATCTCAAAACCTATTCCAAACAGAAAACAAAACAAACAAAAAAAAAACCAGAGGACTCAGGTTGAAGATGGCCATATACCAACATTTTTCAATTCCAATAGCCTATGGTAGACAAAGAACCACTTTGTGGATATGATACCATGAAAGTTCGAAACATTTATTTTATTAATATGTTATCTCAACTACCGTAAATCCGCTATTAAAACCCCCGGGGGGGGGGGCTTTTTTTTTCAAGCACTTTTGAGTGGGGGGGGTTAAAAGAGACGAGTGGGCTTATCTAATTTAGCGAAACGCATCAACGGGCGCAGGGTTTCTCGAGGACGGACTTGTTGCTCCCGGGCGTTATATACTGCTTTTTCTAACAATAAGAAAGTGGTAACAATTCTCCACAGAGAACTAGAGCGTAAAGTTGAAAAAGTTAAGCACGTGAGGTTGGAGGTCATGCGGCCGAAGACCAAAAACAATATGAATTTCCAGCCTGAATAAACCATAACTGATCAGTCCACGTTGATTGTTTGTGAAGAATGGAGGGGAGGGGGAGGGGGGCTTACTGACTTCCTGACTTTACTGACTGTCCTCCTCTGATAAGGGTGGGCTTATTAGAGAGGGGGGGAGTATTTGAGAGGGGGGTTTAATAGAGGATTTACGGTAATACTGACATGAAAACTCAAAAAAATATTCCGAGTAACCATGAACGAGTAGAAACTGAACTAAAACTTGAAATCGTGGGGGATATTTGAGAAAAATCGCTTAAAAACGGCAATAATTAAAGTTATGCCTTTGAGTCTTAATTTTCGTAGATTATTTTGGGCAAAAATTGTACCGTCCAGCGTATTTTGTAAGAAAAGTGAAATCTGGTAAATCAAAGTTGCCCCAGCTTTGACTTACCGTTCTCACAGTGATCTCCGTCAAATCCCATAGTACACAAACAGCGGTAGTCTTTGCCTGTAAAGCCTGTTTGACAGGTTGCTTTGTTCTTGCAGGGTTTATTCTCACAGGCGTTCTGGGACATTAAAAGAAAACAGACATCCATCAATAGTTCTAGCCTGCGAGCAAGCTCTCCTATTTGGGCGGCGAAGCCGCGAGGGGCCGAGGGGCCGCTTTCGAGTCTTCTCTCGCGTGCCTTTTGTGGGTCTATTTTTC